GCAGCCTGTGCCAGTGCCTGACTGCCCTTTCGGTGAAGAAATTTTTCCTAATATCCAACCTAAACCTCCCCTGGCGCAGCCTGAGGCCGTTCCCTCTTGTTCTATCGCTTGTTACTTGGCAGAAGAGACTGACCCCCACCTTGCTACAGCCTCCTTTCAGGGAGTTGTAGAGAGCGATGAGGTCTCCCCTGTGCCTCCTCCAGACTAAACAACCCCAGCTCCCTCAGCCGCTCCTCATAAGACTTGTGCTCCAGACCCTTCACCAGCCTCGCTGCCCTGCTCTGGCCACGCTCCAGGTTAGAACAGGTTTTGGTTGGATCCTTTCTCCTGTCGTTTTAGTAGAAACCAGCCGGTCGCAGACTACGAAAAGCAACAGCTTTTACCGCATTGTTAGAAGAATGCGTGTCTCTAACACATAACCTGCATCGATGGACTTCTGACTACTCCGAGTCTGAGCTACTGCCAAAGGAATGCCCAGGGACTGGCTATAGATAAGAATCAACAGAAATACTGAAAAAGCACTAATTTTTGTCTTATCTTCTACGTGCACCGTTTTTTGAGGGCGAATCTCAACGTTGCAGTTTATTCCGTGCCCTCCTCTCCCCTCTACCGCCCAAGTCCAGCTCCCGGCATCCTCCTGCTAATGAGCAAAGGCAGAATTGTTTCTCCAAATCTGCGTATCCCACTTAAAGTGGGGGAAAACCGTAGAATCGGCTCCTGTCAATGTACAGTTTGGCACAGGGTGTTTCTGTAAACACAGAGCCCATTTGAAAAACGCCCATAGCTCCTATATCCCCGAGACGTTTACAGCCTAACGAACAGCAAATACAACCCTATAAACTGAGTATTGTTGATTCTAGCAGAAAACCTCTTCAACTACAAGCTCTGGAGAACTGAAGTTTTTAAAAAGCAGTACATTTACAAAAGGCCTTTGTGATTTGCAAAAGATCTGTGTGTTTCACAGGGAAAACCGATTACAGTTTTGACAAGCGGCATGAGAAATCGGATAATCTCAAAGTGCCAAGAGATGCCAAGTGCTGGAATACGGCTCCCTACGTTTACTTTAATACCGTCTCTCCAGGCAGCTAGGGATTGCAGAAACACCCGTTTATTTTTTTCCTCCCGGACGCTGCTAAGCTCTTCAGAGGAAGGAGAAAAGTTAATTGAGAACACTACTGAGAGTCACAGCACCGGAATCAAACTGTGAAGGACTAACAGAGAACTGGGGATGAAATTGGTTCTTATTTAGATGCTAACTAGTCTTCAAGCGACTGTGGGGTGGAGAAATGCTGGAAAATGAAGGTAGCATAGCCACGCAGTTTAACACTGATGGCACTTGGTTCAGTGGTACGTACAGGTTAACAAACACACATTTCAATGCTGAACAGGGTATTTTCTACAACCGGAGGCCAAAGAGGGAGAGCGTGCCAGTATGGGATTGAATCGTTAAGCAATTTTTTTGGAAATGTTCCTTTTTATCAAGCTGCAGACTACTTTCACTAGAAGGCCCGGATGCTAGAAAGCCAGCACGCTCTTTTAAACTGCTCTCTGCAAATACGGCGTTGAAGATGAAGAGAAATCGAAGACCATGGTGCATGGCTCACTCCGGAGCTCTGTCCTTTCAGCACCCTCAAACCTTTCATTACACTCATTCCAGTGTCTAGCGTGGAAATAACAATCTGATGAAAGATGAAGGTTTAGCAGCGTTGTTATTAACTAGTCGCCAAACCTAAGAGCCTAAAAATGGGGCAGAAAGGAGGAAGATGCCAGCAGACCACGGAAGCGTTTATGTAAGTATACTACTCCTCCGTGGTTTATTGATCAGACACAGCCACGTGAATAAAATATTAAGAAAGAAAAACAACTGTAAATTACAAGGAGTGGTGATTCTCAGAAGTACAACTCTATCTTTAGTTTGGGGAATCAAGCCTTCGTTTTGTCCTCACCACAAACTCAACTGGGAGGACAGATGAGTAGCAACATTTCTCCAGGATACCCTGCTCCATTTTATCTTGTTTTCCAACAGATGACCCACACAGCATTTTCCCTTCTGTTCTCCCAGGTTGGGTGATGAACCGCAAAGGCATTAATGAGAAGAAAAAGATGAAAAAACATTTGAGCCCATAAACTGAAAGATCAACAAGTCTGATTTTATTATGATATTGTATTCTTATCTGGATGGCACATAATTACAAAGAAACATTTACAGTATATTTTCAAGTATTAAGTTATGTCATTTCAAGGCTTCCACTTCAAAAAGCTACATTAATAATACACCATACAGATAGTACAGTCGGTTAGAATGTCAAATCACTTCCTCCCCTCTATTTGGTTTAAATATGGTTCAGTAGGCACTAGAAATGCCTGCAGCCACTTACTTTCTCGGGACTTGACCTTGTTCTTGTACCGGTATACATCATTTTGCATGTCAGAAAATCAGCTACTCTCAGACACAGCTCACAGGGAGTTTCATGACTAGAGTGATGTGCAGGTTCACAACAGAGACCAGAACTAAGTCCCTGACCTCTACCGTCTAGCAGTGATGTAAAAAGAAAGAATGCATATTTAAGTTAACTTAAAAACCACTTCTACACTGAAGTAACTGTAAAAATGCCATTGTAACATCCCATACTTGCTACATTAGTGTTTCTCTTTTCATCAAGCATGTTAAACTTCAAAATAAAGCGTGTTCATGAAGTCTGAGCTAGGCGGATTGAGCCTAGGTTGAACCTAACTCAATTATTTCCATTTTGCGTATCAGTCAGTACGGGTCTTGATGGTTAACTCTGATTCCTGTGGCACTGGTATAACCCATCAATTACGGTAGGGTTACACAGTTTAAGACTGAAACTTGGAACAGTCCTGTTGATGCCACCACAGAGGTGTAAGGTAACGCATATCCCACTAAGTCTCTTTTGTGCTGGCAATATGCCCTGAACAGATGGAATTCTGCATACACTGGAGTAAAACCTGTTTGATAGGATATTGTCTTTTAAAAAACCATCTTGGATGACAGTAAATGATCCCAGCATTCCACCTTTTTTTTTTTTTTTTTTAACAAAAAACACAAAAACCCCTTTTCCCTTTTTTTTTTCTTTTTTTTTACT